AGTCTGAGGTATCTGGTACCAAGCGCTCACCAACTGGTCCTGCAATTCCCTCACATTGCGAGGGGGTAGCGTGGTAGCACGAATTTGGTTTTCCAAGTAGGACCACAAATGCTCTATTGGATTAAGGTCAGGTGAATTTGGGGGACAAGACATGACTTGAAAGTCACTGGAATGTTCCTCGAACCAATCCATGACGATTCGATCCTTATGACATGGTGCATTATCCTGTTGGTAAACACCATTCCCCGCAGGAAAAACTGTTGCCATGAATGGGTGAACCTGGTCTGCAACTGTGTTAAAGTAGCTTACAGACGTCAGGTATTGTTCTATGAGGATTATGGGTCCTAATGTGCCCCATAAAAACATTGTTCCTGGGCGAGAAACCATGAAAACCTGGGCGAGCCCATTGTTATAGGTGGAGGGTGGTCATAATATAATGGCTCTTCGGGGTATGTCTTAAAATGTACTAAGTATTTGCATTGTCAAAATAATTCTTACGTATAATTGAATGAATGTGTTCAAAAACCGGCCATTTCCGACAAAAGTAATTTTACAGGAATGACAAAAAACTGAATAGTCAATTATCAGCTTGATATATAAATTTCTTTTTTTATTTTTTAATGTTTAAGTATGACTGGTTGCAAAATATTCTACTGCAAGTGTGTCTGTAATATCGCTTAATTTTCTAATTTAAAGACGACTGGTGATTCTTGGAGATGACTGGTTGTCGGAAAAAACCTTCAAACGAATACTATATATTATTTTTATCAGGAGAAAACATTGATAGTTTATCATTTAGAAATGAAATAATTTATTTAATTCTTAGACACCATATTAATGGATATTTGTGAATATTCCGAAATCTTTTGGAGTATAACTATCTATGCTGCGTGACTTGCAAATTTCTTTATAGAAAGTTAAAAACTCATTTGGCTTAAATTACAAATTTCTTTGTAGTTGATGTTTTCAATTTTCTTGTGGTTTATGGAAATTTTTCCAAAATATGCTTACTTAACTGGTTATGGTGCTACTTTTAGGGTACTTTTTTTGTGCGGAGTAAATATCAATTTCATTAAACAACCAATGAAAGGAGATGCTTCAACTTCCCCAGGTGTTGTGTTTTTGCAAGTAAAATTTCAATAGAAAAATCAATTTCATTAAACAACCAATCAGAGGAGATACATCAACTTTCCCAGGTGTAATACTTTTATAAGTAAAATTGCTATAATGTGAAACCTGATACTGTTTTTTCCTTTTTTTGCATTTCCACGGGAGTATTTAAATAACACACTTTTCTCATGTCACTAACTTTTGAAATCAAAAATCACACCGGTAGGTATGATTAAAGCCGATCGAAAGCATTTGTATCTCTCTGTCATCATCATACTGCATTAAAATGTGTTTTAGATTATGTTTGGTTCTGTCTATCATCTCTTTCGTCTGCAATAGGCGAATTAGGAGATATCTCAAATTAAGAGAACCTTAGCTATTTGTAAGTTCAGTTACAGATGACGAAACAACAGTCAAAATTAGTTAATGTTGTTAAAGTTAGAATACTGTTTAAAAATTTTTTTAGTTACAATAATTACATTATTAGATTCAAAATCTATATACGTTCTTTTGAAAATATGTTATTAATATTTCAGGTTTATCATTTCGTACATATATTACGCTTTGTCATGGAACACTAATGATCTCGGAGGTGACCCTTACTGGACTTTTTTCATATGTGGAGCGGTAGAACTGCCCGCTGGAGTTATTTTCATGATTTTGTGCAGGTACATTGGTCATAGAATGGGTCTTATCATTGCAAATGTTAGTGCTGGACTATGCCTCCTTGCCGTAATCTTTATTCCACCCGGTAAATATAATATTACTGATAATTATTTAAAGTAGATTTTGTTTGTAAATTACATTTCATTAATCATGACGATATTGCGTCTGGAAGATTTATAATACTATTTTTTTTTAAATATTTATTTCCAAGAAAAATATTTATTTTCTGAAAATTGCATATGAATTCGTTAGTTACATATAAAGAGGATATATTATCAGTAATGTTGAAAGATCTTACAGCCATAGTTTTAAAAACTTATTTAGAGAAAGAAAATTACAAACAAAAATAAGTAAAAATAAAGTTTCAGCCTATTTGGTTTCATTTTTAAAGTATTTAAATAAGTGAATAGAAATTAATGGGAAAAATATCTAAGTATTAATTTTAGCAGTATTCCTATTCTCTGTGTCTTATTATTATATTATTATTATGCCCCATTATCGTGTCCTTTTATCATATCTTATTATCATATCCTATTATTTTATTACATATTATTTTGTTAATGTTATCACGATTTTTTTCAATGGAACCTGAAGAGCAATAAGATTTTTAGACTAGGTCCACGTTTCCCGATTCTTCTACTTGTTTAACAGAAAAGATGTTCATTTAAAAGAACTAAAAAGAGATTGGCTTTTATTTCTTGAGAATGACTTTCTACGTGCGTCAAGATACATTGGCTAGGTACGAATGAAAAAAAAGCGAAAATGCCAATTAAGTTGTGAACATGTGGTTATAATGCTTGTAATATTCAGCTTTTTACTTTACTTCGCATGAATATGATCCCTGACTGATACTTTAAGTCTCTGCACTTGGCAGGGCTCTTGAAATTTCACTTTCAAATTAGACTTAACCAACTGCTCCTAGAAGACAGAAGGTATTCGCACGATTTATCATGAGCAAGAAATCCAATCCCTTAACAATCCAAACGTTATGAGATCTTTCTTATTTAGCCTCTACTGTGCAGTTTATTGTTCCAAAGGTTGAGCCATTTTTCTTACCTTTCACCCACTGCTCAGTTTGTGTTGACTAAATCCGACTACTAAATTGATTTGTGCTAAATCTTCTCTCTTTTTCGGAGGTATTGACTAGGAGGTGTTGTCTTCTAGGACGTGTTTCATTTTCTTGTTGCCCATTAATGTAAATCTGAAACTTCAGTCAATCCTGTTCTAAAAGTTTGTCTCGAGGATACAGATGACTTTTAGTATCTACATATTTTCAACCATTGAAATATCAAATGGGAAAGAAATTTGGTCCATTTTATTCAGGATTAAAAGCGTATAATTTCTCAAAAGTATTTTTTTAATCTTTTTATAAGGTACTTTAAATATATATCATCAGGTTTCTGAAGAAATTAAATTTTCCCTGCACGGTTAGATTAAAAGTTACTATAAATTTCTAACAGAAAGTTTACTAAAAAATTGAACGATTTAATGTATATAAGTTGTGCGAATATGAATTAGAGAAAAGAAATTCATTTACTATGAACATGTCATTTTTGATGATGAATATTTTTCTATAAACAAGTTAAAGTAGAAAAAAACTTTTTATGCTCTATTATTCTATGTAGAGGTTAAGCCTAAATAAAAATGAAAAAAAATTAAATTTCATTAGGAATCCACTAACATAGTTAAACTTTAAAAATATATCTTAAGTCCTATAAAGTTTGATCAAGCTAATGCAATTCTTATTCTTCAGTATAATTTCAAAAATTCCAAATTCAAAAATTTTGTTAAGACGGTAATTATGCGACTAGATGAATTTTTAGCTAAATATTTAATGTGGTTTCTTTTCATTTATTTAGACTTTTATCTATTCTATACGTTTGTATGGTGTTTACAAAAATATATTGCTTTTATAATTTTAATTCTAGATATGGTGTGGTTGACAATCGCATTTACAATGACGGGAAAGTTCTTTAATTCAGCATCTTTTGATATTATTTACATATACACTGCAGAAATTTTCCCGACTGTCGTGAGAAATGTAGCCGTTGGGTCTAGTTCAATGTTTGCAAGGATAGGAGCTCTTCTAGCTCCCTTTATTAGACAATTAGTAAGTTCTGCTATTTTATCTTAATTCTATAGATATTTCAAAAGTACAAAATAAAAACGTAAAAATTATTTTACGAAAGAACTTTTTAAAATGATTTTTTGTTTTAATTTTAAATATACCAACAAAAAGGTGGTAGAGAATTACAATAAATATTATTTATCTATCCTCTAATCACATAGTTGGGCTTTCAAGTACAGTTATCTAAAAATCACGATTTTTTAAATGCGGTGATATTGAGGACAAATGCAGAAACAGTAGGAAAAAAATAGTGAAGTTCACAAAAAAAGTTTTTCCTTCTAAAATGCTTAGGGTTTTAAAAGAATTATTATTAGCCCAACAATCAGAAGAATGACAAAAACGTGCATAAAAATGAAGTTTTACTGTTAGTTTGGAATTTGGGACTTTTTGTAGTGTCTACTTTTAAGAACTAAGCAAAAACACTTGATTAAGGGTATTAATTAATCTGGAAAAGAACTTATCAGACACTAGCATGGGTTAATAATAAAAAGCCCAGCCATTCTCGCGGTCGGTCATTATTTCTAATGGCTATAAACTGGTTCCAGTTCTGCAGTTCTGGTAATTTTATTGTGGTTAGACGACCTGGTTGGTGCTTCATTTAGAAGTGTCTCGTTAATTTACTATATCAGGATGAGCTTTTTTAGCCATGATAATAAAAAGTTATTGTTTGCAAAGAAAACATAAATATATCCCTTAATCACTGATTTTTATCTATTCGTTAAGATCATACATACATGGCTGAGCGGTGCTCTAACGAAGTACAAAAATTATACTGTAAAATAGTCTGAATATACTACACTGTAAGAAATTCCAGATTGTATAAAGTACTGGCACCTTGAGTGCATCATGCGTAAAATGAATTTTACCGTAAAATTCATTTTAACCGTAATATATTATACCCTAAATTTTACAGCAATATTTATTTTATTGGAGTGATTCAGTGATATTCCGGTAATTATTACTTTAAAAATTATGGTACATTAGATTTTTTTCTTCATAGCATGTTCCGGTAAAAGTGAATTGTCCCTCCTGAGTGGCGGTACTTTTTACCGAAATTTGATCCAATATTTTTTACAGTATAGGTACTATAATATAAATCCAATCATTTGTTTCGCATCCTCCGGACACGAAAAAATTTATTAAGAAAATTTAAAAAATATGGCATGGGTAAATTAAATATTCAAATATATTATTGTTGTGTCACTAAATAAAACTCTACCGTTATGAAACTAATGTAATTTGAAACTACCGTAACTATGTGTTATCCCACACGTAATTACAGTAGTTTTAATGTCAGCGATAACGAACTTCCTTACAATGTATTTATTGTATGTTAATTCACTCAAAACACCTTTAATATTTTGTACTTTTAAAATTTTATCAATATTTTTTTCTGTAACTTTTGGGAAGTTAATTTACAGAACGTGAATTAATTTATAGGATGTTAATTTATACGTAGAAAAACAATTTAAAATTTTATTTGCAGGGTGATGTAACCCATCCAATAGTTCCCATGGCACTTCCCGGTGGCTTATCTGTTATAAGTGGCTTATTGTTATTACTACTTCCTAAAACAATAGGAAAAACATTACCTGATACTATAGAAGAAGGAGAAATGTTTGCAAGGTAAAAATATTTGATTTCTAATAATCATATGTATGTTTTTAATTTGTGTGAAATATTTCAGTTTGAGAATACGTAAACACTATTTTTTCTTTTTTAAAAAAAATATTATTTAATGAATAAAGAATAAAGAATAACATTTGCTTCTATGCCTTTAGTTTATCATAGAGAAATATGGAGTTTTTTGGATTGCATAAAAATTTAATGAATATTATTATTTAATAAATAAAGAATAAAAAAATATTTGTTTCTGTACTTTTAGTTCATTATACAGAAATATAGATTTTTTTGCTGTACATAAAAGTACGAAAATATTTTATACACATCCAAGTGTTGTTTTATGACACTTGTCAATTTTTTTTATTAATGTTTCACATATATGATCTTTGTATGACTACGAACCTTGACTTTGTCAAGATGAATTATTTGTTCAGATGAGGAATGTGCCACTTTGGAAGATAGTTTAATTTGCAAAATTTATGATGATTGATGTACACTATTGTTTTTAAGTAACAAATAAATGCATATTATGTATAATACCAATCAAGTCTCACTATTTATAACCAAATAAACTAAGTTTATGTTCCATGGCATTATGCTTCCGAAATAATAATACATTAAAAATTAACATAACGGACAATGATAATACTTTTAACTGGAAACTTACTTCTTCGGACAATTTTGAATGTTTCAAGTAGTCCTCCATAAATAAAATTTTTTTAACACTTCTCACATGGATTGATACTCTCCTGGTTTATGGATAGTAATTTGCATCTTGAACGGCTATTCTGAATTTAAATATTTTCTAAGCTTATACTCACGAATTTTATAAAGTATTTTGACATATGTCATTTTTTAAAACTCGAATTTTCGTAGAAGGAATATGGGGATATAGAGAGAGGGATAAATTTTGGTGTGGTGGCGAGACTAATGTAATTTCAAATCTAATATTTCCTAATTGTGTTTGACTATTGATAGGTTGCGTTATGTTGAGTTATTAACGGTATGATTCTATTGCACATTGCGAAATTTATTTTCCCAATGAAGCCAAAATTTTTACAAGAAGGTATTGCCACTGTTTCCATTACCTATGCAATGAGGAAAATATTACATATTATGGAATGAATTCGCAACAACAGTTTAAATATGATTGCTTCACTGAAGAGGCATTAGTAGGGCACTAGACTCACGTTTGTGAGAGAGGGAGTTCGAATCCCGCCAACCAAAGTAATAAATGGTTAATGGTGCACGTTAAATCCACTGGAGCACAAAGTCCTCCATGTCCCCATTATCAATTAGGCCTCTGGAGATACTGGATTGGAGATTGATCGCTTTCAGGTTAAGGTAAAAATTACGATCTATGGACGAATGAATTTATGTATGAACGGGCCCGTGCTATAAATGTGTGTGGCCGAAGTCTAATTCTTGGCCATAGATGGCGCCACTGGAACAAGAATAATCTCAGCCCCCAGTGCCTTAATGGACTACGACAACAACAACAACAACTGAAAAAGCATGATTTTTCTCATTGAAATCTGGTATAAGGAGAGTATCGTTTATGTTTTGCTGTTTGCTGCTGCTGAATCCATGCGTGGAAATAGTTCAGAAAAAGATAGCATTGATTGTTGTTATAATTTTTTTTTCATTTCAAATGTTTCTTTTCAGTAGATTCTCCTATCTTTTCATAGATGCTAACCGTGGGAGGTTCTCGTGGTCTTCTTCTCCATGTAACGCAAATGCGGGTTAGATCCATGAAAAAGTCCTCCACGAAGGCAAAATTTCTCCCAATACTCGATCCAGGAGTTCCCTTGTCTTCTGGATTGGGTTCAAAATTACAAGGCTACGGAGTTGAACATTAGTAGTCGTAAACCCATAAAATTGGGTCGGCTGTTCAGCGACGGATATTAAATAAAATAAAATATATTTAAAATAATTGCAATTACAGAATTGTAATTGAGAAAAACTAAAAATGTTTAATAAAGGTACATTTTAATTAACTAAATCCGCTGCACAAATCGCTGAAGTTATTTAAAAAAAAGAATGGGATGACATCATAGTTTGAGGAATATGCACCTGAAGATTTACTTTAATTAGAATGATTTTATTGATTGAGTTTGAATAAATATTAATGTAACTCACTGTTTCTATTTATGTATTTGTTTAATTATCACGTTAATTAGTTCTAACCATTTGCAGCATTTAATTTCTCAATTTTAAGTTAACTTAATTTGGTGTTCAATTTGTATGATGTCATGAAGTTAGCGGGCATAATTCATTGCCCCAAATGTACGCTTTACCGTGGTTTCACTGTAACATTGTCATTAGCATTTTAACATTCAATTTAAATGGAATTCTATTAGGAAGGAGCTCTTGAATAAAAATGGCGTCTAGTTTGAAATATCTTTCGTTCAGATTGCATGACAACCATTTACTAAATATTTCTCTCATTGCAATTAAGTTTACTCACTAGATTTAAAACTAAAATGTTTCAAAATGTGTTTTCATTCTTTTTAAAATTAAAAATGCTCTTTCACGCATCTTAAAATGAACTGTTAAACTGGATTTCATTTTTCGAAAAGTCAGCGAAAAAAATCAAAACGAAACCCTTCTAATCATACTAAAATAGTTATAGAAATTCTACTAATTTGAGATTGAAATTTTACAAATTTGAGATTTGTCTGTGATATTTTATTAAAAGGTGAACAACACCACTACCTGTGCTACCTTTGTTTGAGATTTGTTTTATTTTGAAAATTATGTTTTATTATTATAAATATTTATGGTTTAAAAATATCTATTCATGCAAACAATAAGAATACATGCTTTTATCTTACTAAGAAAGCGAGATCAAATCTATTTAGTCCTTTTTTTCTTTTTGGTTTTCAAACAATGCTGAAATTTTTCAAGTGTTTTCTGCAATCATGATAATTCTTTCATCTTGTTTCAACTTAACGATGTCTTACAAAATTTAAAAATTTTGTTGCATGAAATTTGAAATATGTAGACATATTTTGTTTCATTATTGGCTGCAGTTAAAATTTAAAAAAATTTAAATTTAAAAAAAAAAATATTGCATATTTTTTTAATTAGTTTTTTTTAAATTTTTATATTAAGGGGTAAAAAAATATTTCAATTAACCTATTACGAAAGAATTCACGATTTAAAAGTTAAAACTTTTATGATTTTATTTTTAGAATTTTGCTTTAATATTATATATTTTTTAAAATTTTTTTGTATTTTAAATTAAAAAAAATTATTATCTTAAATATTTAATAGTATATACGCGAAAAAAATTTTGTGTGCCTATATATGGATAGAATAACAATGCTAACTTATTCTGTTCTATTATTTTCAATGAAAAAATAAAGATATGAAACGCATTTTCAAAAGAATTTTTTCTCCATTTTTGTATAAAAATAATAAGTTCGTCATTTTCATTTTCTAAATTATATACATATTTAATACGTCTAGATGAATATTTTATTTTTATGTGAATCAATGGAAAGTTAAAAGAAATAATTAAGTGAGAGTTAATATCAATATTTAACAAATATTTTTTTTTAATAAATATTTTATTTTTTTCAGAAAAGAGAAAGTTATCAAAGGACTACCAAAGCAGCAATACATAATTGTTAACAATAGCATTGAAATGGAGCAACGATAGCACGATCATTTTGTGTTTATAACTGTGATAAAACGAAACAATCAGATCAAGATACATTCTTTTATAACGATTTTCACCTTGCAAAATTTCGCTTTAACTCTAACAAGGGAACGCTATTCTATGTTTGAAAAGAAGGAAATTTTTTCTTACTAGTCCGTTGCTTAGCAACCAAAGTGAACAATTTAGTATCAGCTGGGAAAAAGAAGATTTAGATTAAAATATACTCAGTAGCCCAACAACCGAAATATTTTAATAAAAAAATCTACTTGTGATTTTTTATCAAAATTTCCTCTAAACACCGATGTGTGTTCCCTTGAAAGCAGCTAAACGTTTGTCTCTCAGAGCGGAGACGTGAGAAATAAGGAATGTAGTTTGGCGATTGTATATGTATGCATGTGTAGCGAGATTCAATTTGATCTCGTCAAGAAAAAAAAATCTTATGAATGGTAGTCTTTGTAAAAATTAAAGTGTTTTATTTTTATACATTGTAAAAAAGGAAAATAAAATAAACTTTTTCGTATGTCTTTGCTTTATACTTAAAGTTCACAAAAATTGAATGCTTCTGTCATAATGTAGAATGATGAATAGAGTGCTTTCAAACATAAAATATTGTATTGGAATTATTTTTTATTAATTTAATCTGATTTATTATTTTATGAAATTATTATTCCATAGATTAATTTGCCATGAATAAATGCAAGTGTTAAGGCATTACATTTTGGAAGATTCGAATTTGGAAATAAAAAATATATAAATTACCTATTATAACAAAAATGAAAACAATATAAAAATTCTATAAACCAGTTAAAATCTATCGTTAGCTCATTATACTTAAATCTAATAAAATCACACCTTTTTTAATTTTTTTCACGTTGTCTAAGACATTTGAAGTAATCAGTCTTTAGATTTTCATGCTTTTTTGATTCGCGATCGCAACGCTCGAGTACGCCGTCTAGCGGGAGCCTGTAAATATCAGACATTAATTTATCACGTTTTCATTTAGTTCCATCAAAATCATTGACTGAATCAGACGCCATTTTTTAGCAGCAAATAAGAAACAAAATTTCCCTAAGGAAAAGGCCGAAGAACTTGAAAAAAATCTCCAGAATATTAGTAAATCTTTCAGGAACAGAACACGCCAAACATTTGAAGAAAAATTCCTCAATAATTTTTAATTTCTATTATCAACAAACTTGCAACTGATGACTTCCGATTTCGGATACTGTTACAGATGTGTGTATTAAGGTAAAATGCATTTCTTCTGTCTTCAATTCATTACGAATTAAAGTGAAGTCAACATTGCTTTCGTCATTCCAGTGAATAAATATGAATTCAGAACATACAGAATTGTAATAGTTATAGCATATTCTTCTTCGTTATAGAATAGTATATATTTCTGTATCCATATAATTCGGAAAACAACAATAAAAAATTATCCAAGTTACTTGAAATAGTGCCATTTGTGCTGATTCTTAATTAATTTTAATCGTTTTCTTGGTAAGTTTTTTTTAGTTTTGAAAGAATAAGTTCAACTAGAATTCAGCTATTCTGTTTTTAGCTACATATTCAAATTCATATCAATTATAAAATTTTGCTGTGTAGTATGTTATCTAAAAGTAATGAAGGGATAAACTATGTATCTATTATTTGAGAATAAAGTTTTCAAACAAGGAACTTATCATTTTGGAATTCTCCGGGAATTATAAATCAGGTAAGTGCAATGATTTTTACAATAAAAAATTTGCTTGTAAATATTTTTTTTTCATTTGATGATGGTTCTCTACAGAATGGTTTTTTACGTCTGATTAAGAACTATAAGAATAATAAAAAAAGAAACAATATGAAAGTTTTTATTTCAATGTAAAGAATTCTTAAAATCGTTTTTTTATCCTAAGAATTCTTTATTTTCCGTTTTTTAGTTTATAATTTTTTGATAAAAATTGTTCTCAAAATACTTTTTTTGAAAAATTAAATGGTATAACATTATGTGTTTATGTATACTTCTTGTATATTCCAATGTTTGAAGTAATATGATTCAGAAAAGTATGGAATAAAAATTCGGTACTTACGTATTAACGCCACCGCCGCTACAGATTTGGCGGTTTTAAGTGTCGCCAATCTACACTTAAAATTTTTGCGATTAAATTTTATTATTGAGTTGTCTTAGCAACGTTGTTTTTATTTTTCATAAAACTAAATATAAATGCTTGTTATGTTATTGCTCTTGCGCACCACAAAACTATTTCTCGGGCATTAGGTTTTAACTCTTATAAGAATATACATATTTTTTTCTGTTAATGTACAAATATTTTTCCGATGTGCTTCGGATATTCCTTCTCTAATAAAAAGAGATACCATTTTGTTTTCGTTTGCATAAGAAAGAATATCAAGCATTTTTCTTTTTTAAATTTAATTAGCCACAATAAAGAAGGAACGTTGCAATGCTACGTGCTATATTAACGACGTCTCTAGAGTAACTGAATGACTGTTCATATAGAAATCGCAGGTATTAGTCTCATACAACAACGCCCCCTATAGTTCGTTGCGATCGCGAATTGCTTGAATAACATAAATTAAATTTGGATCAATAATTAAATTTTTTACGTTCTCGTGACGTATTAGAATAAAAAAATGCACTTTTTCTTTATTTTCACTGTGTATCTCTGCGCTCGTTATGTTAGATAAGGACAGCTTTAAACTCACCTCGTGAAGATTGTTGCAAATGAAGTTCTACCTATACTTTACCCAACCAACTATACAAATTTTTGTCGAGTTTTTACATTATTTTCGCATATCCACAGCCTGAGAGTTATAAGCGCGTAGTGTGCCAATTAATGTGTGATATAATATTATCTTCGTTCAAGTCATGCAGCATTGAAGGGGATATACCGCACGAAATTTGCAATTAATGATTTCAAAATAATCCGAAGGTTGAAAGTTTTCCTTCTCTAGTAAGAAATTTCAAACTATATTTTTCGTTGGGACTGTTCGTCTTACCTTTAAGATGTCTCTTATGCATAATTAAATGCTCAGTTGATAATAATCAGTTGTCAGGAATGGGAAAAAGGGAAGAGCATTCTGTTTTGCCAGATTTTTGGTCAACTACCCTAGACAATTGCATTTAAAATGTACTCCAGATAATGTTGATTTATTTGAAATTATTGGCAAAATCAATATTTAGTATTATCTAAGATTACGGATTATTTCGGATTACTTTAAAATCATTAATTGGTATCATTATGTGCATATACTACTCCAACGCTGCAAAACTTAAATGAAGAGAATAATTAATCACTTTTGTCAGTCAAACAAAATAATTTGAGTTATTGTGCACATCAATGATTTTTAAAAATTTTTTTTTTACTAAATTCATCAAATTTTAGAGTTTTAACTTATCGGTAGAAAACAACGATACAAAACAACTATATATTTGGCATCGAGGCAGTATGTCAAGGTCATTTATGTCACGTAATATATCAAGGTTTCACCATATCCAAATAATGTTATAGGTAATATGTTATAAATAATGCTATACGTAAGCGACCGTATAGCAAGAAACAGTTATTCAATGAAATTTGTCTTTTCTTGTGTGGAAGTAATGTGTTCATTCAATTCCATTCAATTATTGTTTAATAGCTATAAATAACCATAAATCTTTGAATGAATAAAGTCTAATAAATAGCTATTAAAAAAATCGGTCTTTTTCGAAGAAGAAAAATTAATTCAGTTTATTAATTATGAATATGAACACGTTTTTAAATTAATATAGAAACAATCAAGAAATAATGATTTAAAGAAACATGTCTTTATTTATTAATTCTAAATTTGAAATTCATACAGTTTGAGTCTTTTCAATACGTTTACATCGTTTGAAAAAATAACGACTAATAAGAAACAATGACTCAAGAAAATCTGTCACTTGTACCAGCGAGATTCCAAGCCAAATGCCTATAAATCCTCCAATATAGCTAAACGCTTCCACTTCCTGAAAATAAATTGCATATTTTTTTAAAACTTATCTAATATTATTTAAGTAAAAGTAGTCCATAATTTAAACACAAACAGCTACAAATGTTATGCTTTTGGAAGAACAGTGACTCTTTTTTTTAACACAGCTTCCTTATCTATTCTTATCCTTTTCTAAACAATCTTAAATTATCCCTTCTCCGCGTTTTGACAAGAAAACTTGTTAGACCTCCCGGTGAGTATCTTAAAGATTTGAGGCATATTTTGTATTTTAAGTTGCGTTAAAAATAAAAAGTAAAACAAAATAGTGTAATTGTTTTTTTTTTCAGAAAAAATATTTTCATTTTAATATGCTTAAAAATATTCTAAAATGTTGGTTTAAAAAGTAAATACAAATATAATATTGTTTATTTAAAAAATAATGTAAGTAAACAGAAAATAGAATACAAAAATATAATTTAATTACTAATAAGCAAAAAAGTGTACTGCGCTTTTTAGTTTTTTTAAAATTAAATTTGAAAAAAGATGTTTATTTTTTTTTGTTGCAACAATGTGTTTACATATCCTTCCGAATGTTAAAATTTCAAGCACAAAAAAATTCTTGAATTAAGATTATTAAATAAGTAATCAAAAATGATGAAAATCCCTGGCGAATTAGTATTGAGAAAGCTGACATTAAAAGCAAAAAGAAAAATTATACGCTTGCCTCAGAAGTTGAAACATGTTTATTAGAAAGAAAAATAAACGTTAAATCAAGAAATCAAATAGCCTTCGATGATTTAATACCAGCTTTCCATATTTGTAATATTTTAACAGTGACATATTTTTTCTTGCTTAAACGTTAGCTCGTGACCCTAATCTATTTTTGAAATAAGTTTGTACAAGAACTTTAAAAATATATGTCAGAGATGATGATATTCTACTGAGTAAAAAAGCGTGGTCAAAACTACCAGAATGTGATAAAATGGACCGTGTTTCTGGCTTTATGGGAAAAAAGATTGATAAGTTTTACCGAAGCGCTTTGGTAATGAAATTGATAAAATTAACAATGAAAAGTGGTTTTATGATGTATATATTAAAATTTAGTAATTTTATCATGAAATTTATCTTAAAGCGTAGTATAAGACAATTTATTCGGTTAAAATTACTTTTCAGCTCTTTATTTTTTTACTAAATGTATGGTAATAAGAGCTGTAATTTTTAAAAGTGTAATTTCTAGCTAACCGTTACCATATGAACCGAGAAATCAATATATGAATGGTTTAAATACCGTATATTTTTTGTTCTATTAACCAGAATTCTGTCTGTTTCTTTACTTGATATTACATTACTAACCAGTACAGTAAATTAACCAAAATCGTTTCCTTTGTGCAGAAAAAAAAATTGCCTTTAATCCACATAAAATAAAGTAAAAGTGTTATAAAATTCAACCAGAGTTAACAAGACAGAAAATTATGAAATATTATGAATTATTATGAATTATAATGAATTATAATTCATAATATTATGAATTATAATTATGAATTATTTGCATCAAACTACGGTTTATTAAGGAGACATAATTTTCTTGCGACTACAAATCTTCCGACAAATGCTGTCAAAAAATTTTAAAAATATATGTTGAGTCATAATGTATTGCGTGTTTTTCAACAACTTTAAAACGGTGCTAAGTGAAACCGTATTTCTACATGAAATAAAGATTAAAGTGTAATAAAATTTAACCAGACTTAACAAAGCAGAAAGTTGTG